CAGACTTTTTCTAAAAAGTCAAGCAGGAAAGACTAGCAGGTCAACAGGACATCTCATACCATTGTTTTGTTTGTTTTTGTAAAGTGTTTTACATCGCTCGCAACTTCATAAGGTCATATGAGGGCGCGGGACACACCTAATATTTTCAGTTGGTAGGAAATTTTGAATTTTGCCCGGGTGGCGGCCGAAGCCTACTCTTATCGATTTTAGACCACCAAGGGATCTTTAACGTGCGCAACTTGCACACGGGCCCTCCGAGATTTTTCGCCCTTGTCCGAGAAGGCTAGGTGTAGATCTTTCCTACCAGAAGATCAGGGGTGTGACAGAAAGACAGCAGTAAGGAGGAGCCAAGAAGTAGCAGTAGAAAGGCTGCAGAAAGAGTCAGGAGCCCAGAGGAGGGGGCAAAGGAGGTGAGGGGGTGGGGGCAGAAAGTGGAATTGAAAGCAGACAACAGAACATTGTTAGAGAGCAGGAAAGGAGGTGAAAGGAGATAATTTTAGAGAAGAAAATTTTTCGGTCGCTACCCGGATTCGAACCCGGGACCTTTGAATGAGAGGCCAACACCTTAACCTCTAGGCCACGAGAGCCCCCTTCTCATACCATGTCACCAACAACACGAACAGGCATGTGGGTGGGGAAACAGAAAACATTCATGTGGGTTGGAGATGGGCGAACATTAGAAAATAAACACGAGTTGGACGTCACGGCCATCTGCTCGCCCACTATGAGCACAACCCACACAGCAGCATATTACAATCCCACAGGTCACCTGCTTCCTCCAGCCCCTCCCACTGACAATACGCTACACCGCAGCGAAGTAAAATTTGGTTAAAATTATGTTGAAGAGCTCCATCACTTTTCAAAATACAGGGTGATCCAAAAAAACCATTTAAAACTTTTTTCTGAATATCTCGCGCAAAAAATTGTTCTAGAATGCTGTTATTTGGAACAGACATAATTCATTCAAAAGGAATTTGTTTGATATAAAATCCACGAAGAAGAAACGTGTTTTGAAAATGGAAACGGCTAAAAGAAAAAAAGCACCCAAAAACGCAAAGTTCACAAATGTTTAAAAATCTTGCAAAGAAAGTCGTGAAAAGATTAGTTGATCTTTTTCCTTATTTTCTCTTTGACATTAATTTTCCACACCTGTGACAAGTAAACAATACTTAATCTCTTTTACAGAGTTTTAAAAACCTAATGATTTCATTCTGAAATTCCTAGAAGCAGTGCTCCACATTCCCTCCTTTGGACTCGACACATTTTTAACGCGTCGTTCGAAATGTTCAGTGGCGCCCTAACACAAGGACCTGCTAAATCATGAGTTTTTAAAGCCATGTACACTGTGCATGTTCACTAAGAAGTGGCTTCTCGAGAAAATAGAGTGGGGTGCCCAAAAAACAGCATTTTTGGAGTTAACATATCCCACAGGGTGAAAATTTGCTTTGCACTAAAATGTCATCGAGGAAATGATCCCTCTTTACAAAACAATCGAGGAATCCTGAACACATTGCCATGCTCTGACCCATGTCATCTCGGCCTAGCGAAGATGAACTTGGTATAGTCGTAGGTTAAGATCTGCCATGAGAATGCATACTGTTGATGTGCAGGAACGTCCTAGCGGCAGATCGTCTACGGACAGACGTCTCATGGGACTCGGCTACTGAAACCTGCACTCTGGTGGCGTTTACAGGGCTGCGCATTGTGCATGTTCGACTTGAAGTGGTCATTTTTTAAAGAACTTTTTAGTTCTGATCCGCTATAGATCCAAACTGACGGAACTTCTCTACTCATGACACCAAAGGTCTAGAGGACACCTAAGCATTCTCTCCATGCCGTGCGTAGAACTTATGAAATGTCAGGGATGGTGAGTTTGTGGAGAAGCAATGTTCAAAGCAAAATCTCTCTGCTCTTTACTAAACGTAGCCATGATCTCAGCAAGCAAACAAAATTTGGGAAAAATAATATCTACAGACTTCTATTGACTTGTTAGACTGCTATAGCTTGCAATATGGCGCGATTGTTGCAACTTTTAGTGGTAGGCCTAATGCGAACTGGTGCGTCATGCTATGAAAATGGCGACAAAGTTGAAAATGGGTTGTTTTTTTAATCCGCAATATAGAGCAACACCATTTAATGGACTTACTTAAAATATATATCAAAGAAATTCCTTTTGGCTTCCAAACGTTATGTTCAAATCTGAAACGCAAAACTTCAGTATGGAGGAAGATATTTACAAAACAAGTTGTAAAGTTTTTTTTGGATCACCCTGTATAGCATTGGGCTGAAGGGCTCACGCTCAAAGTCTACTGAATTAAACAACAACAATTACAACAACAACAACAACAACAACACTACCACCACCAAAAAACAACAACAACAACATCCACAATAGTTATGATATCCAAAAATCCGATCAGCTTCTCCTCCTTCTCCCGATTGTATTGCTTTCCGGCTTCTCTAAATCCCACGCGAAGTCCCACTGCATTGTGCAACTGATTTTAAAATACATGAGAAACTTTCCGACAAAAATGTAGAACCAGTCGCTCTTCCTGTATCTAGAACGCGCCACTTTTTAATATTTTCTTGATGAACTATACTGACCTAAAGTACTAGGACAGACCCCCCCTCCCCCCGAGTTTAAGATCCATCTCCAATTAAGGAACCGAGCTAAAGGAGAAATTCGCGTATAGTGTCTTTCCCAAGGACAAAAAGTCAGACCGAGCTGAGGCTCGAACCCCCGAATCCCCAATCTCATGATTACGGTACCGGTAGCCCAACCACTCGGCTATCGACGTGTTCTACATAGTGCACTGGGTACACATGGAACAAACCTCAAGAAGATGATGGCCATGTGGTGTATAGGGAAAATCCGGACACACATGCCAAAACAACAGAAAGATAGAAAAGAAATATATGCCATTTGAGCGGCGTTATCGAACACACTGACACTCGGATTAAACGGAGAGAGTCGAGGGCTAGTCAGATTTTCCTTCAAAGAGGAGCAAAAGCTACCATTTTGGACAAGACGAATTCGGGTCCGGTAGTCTAACCACTCGAGACTTTGAAAACAAACGCGACTAATTGTGCAGGTCCCAGCCGAATCTAACTGAATTCGTTCGCATTGTGACAAAATGGTAGTTTTTGACCCATCCATGAAGGACATTCTGAGGAAAAGAGGAAAACTGCCCTATTTGTATACTAAGTTGTGCTGAGCAACAAGTGAAAATGTGCACGTATGCGCAGAGCTAGATAGCGTAAAGTCGAATCGAAGAATGTAGAGTCAGTGTTTGTTGCTCCTATTAGGAGATACACACAGCCGATGTGACGTACGGCTTGTTTACAACACTTTGCCCATAATCACACATTTGCTCTTTTTGAGAAGAATAACATGATAGGCCAAATGTTATTATTATAACTTAATTTTTGTTTATTCCTTTACTACTACATAGATAGGTGTAAAACAGAAAAAGTAATTAAAAAAAAAAAAACAGCGTACATGTGGAGACCAGGTTGAGTTTTCACATATCAAGCTTTATAGCGTGCAAGTTTTTGAATATCTTGATAGCGACTCCGAATAATCTTACGATTTTGATAAAGCAGATAGAACATTAATTTATTGGTTTACGACGACAAGGTCTTAGAAACTCAAAATGTTTTGTTTTTTTAAATGTCAGAGAGAACTTTGTGATTTTAAGGTGGCGAATTAGCATCCTCTTCTGGCCGACGGCAGACGTGCAGATGTTGAATAAATTAATGTAACCAATACTCAGTAGGTCGGCGTTCGAACCTGTTTATGGCCCCCTATCTTTCCCGTGCTACCTGTGCGGGTCTGTCATTGGTAAAGACCTGAACGCTAATCATACTGAAATTCATACACATCCAGGAACCAAATGCCCCGATTTCAAAAGTCTTTGAAAAAAACAAAGCTTTAAAAGAACAGACCGGATACCCTGTTCTGTGTTAAAAGGACGTCCAATATCATTGAGAAAAGATAGAAATGAAAGCAAAATCTGAGAGTTGCCAAATTTAAAAAAAAGAGGCTAGGAAAAAATACATGGCAAATAATATATTATATGTGCCGCAGGCGGTGTTGGTCTGTCCGTAAATTAAACGTGAAAGAAAATTTACTTATGATTTCGGGAAAAAAACCCCTTAAAAATTGTCTTGATTTAATAATACAGTCAGTGGCCAAACGTGTTCATGTTGAAACGCAGCATTGCTAGCCCTATACATATTTCGAACGGAACCGGTTATGGTGACGGTGAAAAGTCAGTAGGTGCAAACCACACCAGCAAAACACGCACCAAACACATGTAGCAGCCAATAAAGATGGGACAGGTATCAAAAAGTTAAAAAAAATTAGAACTGCATTTTTGTAGAAGTTCAAAACAACAAACGTATGGCATAATTAAGCCCATCACTGACATACCGACATATACAGGAAATAACTCTGAAATCAAACCGATGCTGAAATAAAAACATTCATCTAAACAGTTTCAAACATATCAACGGTTAAAAACAAAAGTGTACGAATTGATCAGCACAAAAACGATGTTTAAAATAAGTGGTAATGAAAACTTGGTCGCGTTTCATCTCTTCTTGAACATTTGTCCTCACAAGGTGTTTTACAACATTTCAAATGACCACGTTTCAAATGCTGAAGTACGAAAGAGAATCACCAACGCAGTGGGGCAACATGAAGATCTACTGACCACAGTGAAGAGACGAAAACTAAAATGGTATGGGCATGTCACAAGATCCACAGGACGTGCCAAAACAATCCTGCAAGGAACCGTACAAGGAAAGAGAAAGAGAGGAAAGCAGAGAAGGAGACGGGAGGACAACATTAAACAGTGGACAGGAAAGACGATGGGTGATGGCTGAGGAGAGCAGAGGACAAAAATAGATGGCGAGAGCTGGTTTTCCAGTGCAGTGGTGCTCCAACGGTTGCCCCAACCACGGGATAGAAAAAGAAGAATAAAAAGAATGAGTCTCACCTTGAAGCATGTCAGGCAAACCCAATTTTCGGACGTGTCACCGCATGTGGCACAAGGCTGACCACTGTCCAGTCCTGAGGTCGGCACAGGTTGCACTTCCGTCAGGTGTGGACACCACGTCAAAGGCTGAACAGCAAACATCTGATCCGCCCCCTGACGTCAGAGCAAAAACAAAGAAGATCCAATTTAAATTAAACTGGAATGTTCTGCACGGCAGATGTTTTTAAAATACCACGGAAGATGATGAATGTATTGCTGAAGGTTGTGAATATGACGTACTGTGTTGCTTTGTGGACAGAAAATGTGCAACACTACATTTCGAACAAAGGTGAAAAAATACAAACTTAATATATGTGTAAATGTTTAGCAAACCAACAAGGCAGGAAAGATAAACATGGAAAGTCTACTTATTCAGGGGTGATTGTTCCTTGTTCTAGCTAATGCATAACCTTAATATTGTTGGGAACTTCGGCTATATTGCCTCATTACAAGTGGCGGGACCTCCAATTTAGCGTCTATCCCCAAACGGAAGGAACGATGGAGAAATAGACGAATGAAACAAAGAAGTCGAGTGAAAAATAAGAAGACCCGAAAAGGGGATTATTAACACTAGACAGAAGCGTCATGCTTCTTGAGCTAACGGTGCACCCCCCCCCCCCAAACTCCATTTTGCAGGTGATAGCTTATTTTCGTTCGTTTGAGTAGATATACAAAGCAACTGTCACTTAGTGCACGGAAAGGTAAGACAGACAGACAGATAGACAGACAGAGAGACAGACAGAGAGACAGACAGACAAATAGACAGACAGACAGACAGATAGAAAGACAGACATATAGACATACAGACAGATATACAGACAGACAGACAGACAGATAGACAGGCAGAAAAAAGAGAGGGAAAGGAAGGAAGGTCGTAGGCCCTGCCAGTGGCGCCCTTTCACCACCAGCAGAGGAAACGCGCTCTCTGATAATGATACGTAATTGTGTACAGGCGCCTCACTTGGCAAACTCGTTTTAACTTACGCTCACACGACTCATTATCATTGAGCATGTGGCGATGTTAACCAACTTTATGACCTTTAGTGGCTTTGTTTGTTTTGTTGTTTGTTTGTTTAGTATAGAGTTTTACGGCGCTCGCAACTGCATAAGGTCATATGAGTGCGCGGGACACACCTAATACTTTTTCGTTGGTAGGAAATTTTGAATTTTGCCCGGGTGGCGGCCGAAGCCTACTCTTATCGATTTTAGACCACCAAGGGATCTTTAACGTGCGCAACTTGCACACGGGCCCTCCGAGATTTTTCGCCCTTGTCCGAGAAGGCTAGGTGTAGATCTTTCCTACCAGAAGATCAGGGGTGTGGCAGAAAGACAGCAGTTAGGAGGAGCCAATAAGTAGCAGTAGAAAGGCTGCAGAAAGAGTCAGGAGCCCAGAGGAGGGGGCAAAGGAGGTGAGGGGGTGTGGGCAGAAAGTGGAAATGAAAGCAGACAACAGAACATTGCTAGAGATCAGGAAAGGATGTGAAAGGAGACAATTTTAGAGAAGAAATTTTTTTGGTCGCTACCCGGAATCGAACCCGGGACCTTTGAATGAGAGGCCAACACCTTACCTCTAGGCCACGAGAGCCCCCTTGGCTTTGTTTATTTGTTTATTTGTTTATTTAAGTACAGAGAAACACACTGACATAGTAATGGTCATTTTGTGTTTGGAATAGAAAGACAGACAAACAGAAACAAGAGCGGGAAAGTAAAGAGGTTGGACCTACCAGAGGCGCCTTTTAAGTATAACAATGGTCATTTCGTGCTGGCAAAAGTAAGAGAGACAATTAGAAACAACAGAAGGAAATTAAAGAAGTAAGACCTAGCAGAGATGCCTTCCAGCCATCCCCTTTTAGAGGTCTCGAAGCCAGAATAGTAAGAACGTATTTTGAAAGAAGGAGTTATCAGAAAACATTATATTTAATAAAATTTCAGCTCGTTACCAAGATCAATAGAAGCTCGTGTGCCGGTAGTTTCATTTTGCTTTAGTAAAGAAGAGCACATGAACACAATAACAGATATTTGGGGACTAATTTTGTCGAAGGAAATAATATTCCCAGAAGGAAATAACAAACGTGGATTACAATATAGCGCGCCTTTGTCACCAGCCACCCACTCGCGTCATGTTGCCAGCATTAACATCTCCCCCTCCCTTTCCAGGTGTGCCAAATAAACTGAAGTAAAACCAATAAAAGTACGAACAAGTCTTCCGCATTGAATAAAAGAGAAACAAGAAAAAAAAAATACAAGTGAAAAAAAAAGATGGAGACAAAACTAAAAGACCGGTCGTAAAGCAGTAACAATGATAAAAAAAAGAAGCAAACCGAGGCAGATAAACCAGTTTAGATAAACCAAATCGTTTTTAAATCAACCCCATCTGCACGACCATTTGACTTATCACAAGTGGGTTTTTTAAAATCGCGTTGTCACAATATCACAAGAGGGCTAGACTCGGTTATCATCGCACTGTGATACGGGAGACCGTGTAATACAGGGTTTGACAAAGCAAAACGCGGTTACCTGTTGACATAACTGGCCCTTAAAAAAGACTACAAAGTGATGGCATCTTCAAAACACACACACACACACACACACACACACACACAAACACACACACACACACAAACACACGCACGCATGTACAGGCACACACAAACGCGCACAAACACGAGTACAGGTCGGCAAAATGGGCCTATGGTATAAACAGTGATTACAAAACAGAGCCTAAAGTCATTTCAAGTTTCGTCAATTTCAATCTCTTTTCATGTGTTGATGACCTTAGCTGTGTTTCTCTCAGTTAAGAGAAACACTTTGACACGATAACGGCCATTTAGTGACGGGGTAAAGCAGGATACACAATCAGAAAGAGCGGAGGGGCAGATAAAAAGTAGGGCCTAGTGGAGTCGTTCTCCAACTATCCGCGCGCACAGTATTAGAGAAGAGAAAACAGAGAAAATAGGTTGTAAATAAAAATGAATACTAAGTGAAACTGCTCAAGAAATAAAAGACAGTACAAAGAGGCGGAGGCTTAGAGGAGAAAACAAATAATCACTTTGCAAAGAGGTAAGTGATTCTATTACTATTCTGTTCTCTGTTAATCTACAGGAAACTAACAGTAACAGGAGGTCTGTTCATACGATGGACAGATGGACAGATAGACAGACAGACAGACAGACAGACAGATATATTTGGACTCAAAACGTCTGAAAAGTGCGGATCCCACAACGTCTCAACCAATTGCTCAACATAACATATGTAGCATTTATCATAGGAGCGTGCATTGGTTGGTTGGAGGTGGTACCTGTGCATCGGAGGCCTGTGAGGTTGACGTGTAATGATCCCCTGTTCAATGCGGTTGTTGGGAGGCTCTTGTGTACTGTACAAACGTCACTCCAGTCTATGACTTTTCGTAGGTCAGCTTTTCATATGTACTAGCTCCAAAATTTTGATAATTAAAAAAAAAATTGCAACTTCTCAATCAGTTGCAGGTGCTAAAGAAATATTCTGTCGGAATTCGTTCTAAATGTTGAAAAAAAAAAGAATTTAAAAAGTCTAAGACTAGAATGTGGGTACAATTATAATTGAAAGAATGAAACAGTTTCTTTCTCGCTGCTATAAAATGTTTCTTTTTTGGGAGGTTAGTACATTTTAAAAGCTCGCTGACGTTATGTTGTTTTTCCATAGTAGCCTCTACCCTCCCATTGCTCTCGTCCTTTCTGGCTCGCCTTCTAGTATTTCTTTTTAGAAGTGTGCTGCGCTCCTCTATGTGTGGCCAAACTATTCCGATTTTCTCATTCCCCTTTTGTTTATAAGCCCTGGTGCTGTTCTTGATATTTGGTAGACGTACTGTCCTTCTAATCTGGCTCATTCTCCAATAATACAATTTTATCCCCAAAATCGCTTACTACAGCCCACGCCTCTGATTCGTATACATGAATATAGAAAAGACAGTTCAGAGGACGATGTGTGAGTGTTGGTAAGGACTGTGGAGGTGTTAACAACTTGCTCATGTCACCGAACTTCCTGCTCATTGCAAATTGTTGTTTCTCCCATCGCCAATCATTGCCGCACCTAGAGGTACTTGAAGTGGTGATGTATTTTCCTTTTCAAAGCGGAAGCCTAGTGAAAAGTATATATATATAAGGATGTGATATGTAAAACGCCACCCCATGGTACGGAGCGTACAGGTGACTATAACCTGTCAAGTCAAAAATGAGCAGCTGAGGCTCCGATGTTACTTAAGCCATCTATGGGACCGACCCATAAAGCGTTCAAGACTGCCCTCTTCTTCGGGGATTCCATCTCCTTCCCCCTGTACCGCAGATCAGGACGACACCGGCTGCTGGCACGCCCTGAGAGCGCTACGTCAGTGCTCTCTACACAGAGATTTGACTTGGGACACTGAGTTGTACGGTAGTTGGAAACGAGAGAGCAGGCACAGAGATTTGACTTGGGACACGGAGTTGTGCGGTAGTAGGAAACGAGAGAGCAGGAATAAGACAGTGACTTGTCTTTTTTGGTTCTGTTTGAAGAGACTAACATCAACACAATACTGGTAAATTAGTACTGGGACAAAAGTATGTCAGGCACGCAGAAACAACAGAGGGAAAGTAATAAAGTAGGACCTACCAGTGGCGCCCTCCAACCACCCGCTATGATGGTGGAAACAGGCAAAACGCAAAAAATATAATACAATATCAATGATCAGAAATTTACCATCTTCTTTTAAAAACCCCCAACAAATAACACATTGCAGACAAAGATTTCGTTCCCTCTGGGACTGCAATAATCTTAGTGAAACAAGAACGGAATTACCACAACAAGCCTTTACCAACATGGCCATACAAAAGCTGATGAAAAACAAAAAGGGCAAAAGAGTAGAATACCACCAAAGACAACTGACGATACGGAAATATTCTATCTCATTGGTAGAAATTCCGAAATGTTTCGAAATACCGGTACTTTATCTCACACCTGTACACATCTCCACGTGTCACCTGTCCGCAAACCCAATAACACCCCGCCCCCCCCCCCCTCTCCCTTACGTCATAAGACATTTCGAAATCACAGTCTACCATAATCTAAAATGGTTTAAACGTGCATTGCAAAAGACCCATCAGCGAAACACACGGCGACACTCTTCACAACACACAACACATGATTAAGCTGCGACTTCAACAAGAAGGAAAAGGAAACAAGACACGACACCTCTCAGAATCCCATCTGACAGTTGATGTTTATGGGAGAAATTCCACCATTGGAGAGCTTGCATGGTACTATTTTACTATTTTTACTACACGCTTTCCACAGCTCCGTCAACACAAGGTAGCACCCGAACGATGTCTTCCTTTGCACAACAAACACCCCTGTTCCTTTTCGTTACCTTGGCAACAATCCTTCTGGCCCCGGAAAGGGCGCGAGGTCACCCTATCCTCTACACCGTCCGGGCGTGGGACGCGCCGGGGTCAATAGGTCACGCTGCCACCCTCATGGGGCGAGACTCATCCGATGATGGAGGGGAAAAGAACTACATCCTGGTGGGTGACGAGCAAGTCAGTGTGCTTCGGAACGGCGTGAGGGACAAGTCCAGGCTGTGGCCCGGGGCCACCATCCCTTACGTCATTAAAGACGACTTTCCAGACGGTGAGTTTGTTTGTTTTAGTAAGTGTTTAGTTTAGTTTTAGTAGAGGTTTTACGACGCTCGCAACTGCATAAGGTCATATGAGCCCCAGAAGATTAGACGTGCTACACGAGAGTAGCAAACATAAAAAAGAAGAAGGGGAGATAAGGACGATAGACGTTTTATAGGAAAGAAGAAGCAAACCACACCAGAGCACCCGCCAACCACCCACTTAGTAAGTGTTTACGGCACTTGCAACACAATAAGGTCATACAAGTGCCGAAGATTAGAGGTGTTACAAGACAGTAACAAACACAAAAAAGAAGGAGGAACGACAAGGGCAATAGATGTTTGATAGGAAAGAAGAAGAAAACCACACCAGAGCATCCGCCAACCACCCACACGGTGAGTTTGTTTCATAGTAATAAGTAGCTTTTAAATATTCAAAACTTCTTTTAATATGCGAAATATGGCCAACTCTTCTCTGCTACAATTAGTCTCATCGGCCACAGCAGAAGCCACAAGTCATCTTAACCTTTCATTCTTCTAACTCTTCTATATCCCAGGAGAAATATTCTCCTCTGCAGAATAAACTATGTATTGTTCATCGTCAGAATTGACGGGCGAGCTATTATTATATTATAATAAGAAGCACATTCCGACGATAAGGGCAGGGTAGAAGCACAGAGAAACTCAGTTTAAAAAACAAAGACAACAACAACAAAACAACCAAACAAACATTTCATGATGCCGAGAGTCAGTACCACAGCACCTGGATTAGGACTGAGCCAGTACCTGAACAGACTCCTGTCATTTTCCCCGTTTCATTTCAGCAACATCCATTCAATAACATGGACAGCGTACTAGGCCTGCTTTCCAGAATTCAGTTTCACAGGTATCAGATCAGAGTCCTGCCATTCACAAAGTCACAACACTGGATATGTCTCTCCTTCCTCTTCTTTTTTTCCCTCATCTTTTGGTGGTGGTGGTGGTGGTGGTGGTGGTGGTGGT